TACATACTGCCTGCCACCCCCCCCACCTCTCCCCTGCACATCCCCCTGCCATCCTCCACACCCCCCTCCTGCCCATCATCCTGCCATCCTCCACACTCCTCTCCTGCACATACTGCCTGCCATCCTCCACACTCCTCTCCTGCACATACTGCCTGCCATCCTCCGCACTCCTCTCCTGTACATACTCCTGCCACCCTCCACACTCCTCTCCTGTACATTCTCCTGCCATCCTCCGCACTCCTCTCCTGCACATACTGCCTGCCATCCTCCACACTCCTCTCCTGTACATACTCCTGCCATCCTCCACACTCCTCTCCTGTACATACTCCACACTCCTCTCCTGCACATACTGCCTGCCATCCTCCACACTCCTCTCCTGTACATACTCCTGCCATCCTCCACACTCCTCTCCTGCCATCCTCCACACTCCTCTCCTGCACATACTGCCTGCCATCCTCCACACTCCTCTCCTGCACATTCTCCTGCCATCCTCCACACTCCTCTCCTGCACATTCTCCTGCCATCCTCCACACTCCTCTCCTGCACATACTCCTGCCATCCTCCACACTCCTCTCCTGCACATACTCCTGCCATCCTCCACACTCCATTTACCTGCCAATGTGAAGAGCTTACAGATTTACCTAAATTGTTATGAATGTTTTATGATGTAGGCTGCACAATTACATTGGCTTCTATATTCAGCTTTACTTATTGTCTACGATTGGCTCTTCATCCTAAGAATTAGAACTGAGAGGACCACTTCCTAAAAAAAAAAGAGCATAACTTAAAGTGCTGCCATGTATGCACATGGTATGACAGCACATGTAGGCAGCCATCTTGGTAGAGGCAGAGCTTTGCCATGATGACTGGCAGGAAACTACATAAGAAGCAGCAGAAGAGATGGAGAAATCACAGAGTCTCAGAGTGAATGAAGCAGATGCAGGGAGATCCTTGTACTGCATGCAGCTCATCTCCAGCAAGGAGAACAGTGAGCAGCACAGTAGTGACATCACCGAATGGGACAGAGGCAGCAGTGCCATAGATGACCTCACACTTATAGAGAACTGGAGCCTATGCACAGTCACATCAGGAGTGCACTGCTTTTTTTTCAGCAAGAATTCAAGGCAAAAGGTAGTTTTTTGGGGGGAACTGCTTACGCAAAATTAACATTTCTATAAGTTATAATTAGGGATGCAGCGATACAAGCACCGGTATCGGCGACGATACCGAGTATTTGCATGAGTACTCGTGCAAATACTCCGATACAAAAAACGAGTACCTCTGCCGCGTCCGACATCTTCAGGGACCCGAAACCGCCACACACAGGACCTCCATCACGTCTTATGTATCCGAATTTTGTATTTCGGACTTAAAAACTACCATCAACTCCAATATAAAATGTACTTTGCTTTTTACCTTCAATATAACGAATGTTCGTAACGGAACGAAAATACGTCAACGGAATTTCGTATTTCCTGCCTGTATTTGTAATGCAACTCTCAGCAGCAGAAGAGAACCTCTGATTGGTCAACCAAAACGAAATACGAATTCCGTTAACGGATTCCGTATCCGAATTTCGTATTTCGGACTTAAAAAAAAAAATACCATCAACTCCAATATAAATGTACACTGCTTTTTACCTTCAATATAACGAATGTTCGACGGAATTTAATATTTCCTGCCTGTGCATTGTAATGCAACCCTCAGCAGCAGCGGATCCGTATTTCGGATTTAAAAAAAAAATCTTGTCATGTTGTTCAACCTCATTTACAGGGGTAATATTAGTTCCTGTTTCAAAGAAATTCGGATCTGAAATTCGTTAACGGAATTTCGTATTTCGGATATAAATTTGGAAACTGCAATTCGGATTTCGGATGCTTCCGAATGTACGAATTTCAGGAAAATTCGTACGAATTTCGATTCGTAACGAAACGAATCGCACATGTCTAGTTAGCAATGGCATGATAAATATTCATTTCATGTTCTTCATAATATTAAGAAACTGACCTAAAAATGTCCCTTTAGGAAAAAGTATCGGTAATTGGTATCGGCGAGTACTTGAAAAAACGTATCGGTACTCGTACTCGCCCTTAAAAAAGTGGTATCGGTGCATCCCTAGTTATAATAAAAGGGGATTATTCCTCATTTTGAAATGGTGGTCAGAGCCATGTAAACCTTTCCATTGTGCCCCTGAGCCAACTGTGCATTCCGAACCACTAGAGTACAGCTTTATCACACAGATACAACCTGATATCTGAGCTATGTGTTCCAAACAGCATACAGCTGTCTTAATGGGGTAAACTTTTTATCCCATAGTTCTCTTTCGGGTCACGGGAGGACATATACTAACCTCCTCCCGTGACCCATAGCTCAGGATATAGCGAGCTATTGGCTGCGCTATACTGAGAGCGCCGCAGCCGGGGCGGATCCTGACATTGCTGTCGAGATCCACCCAGCTGGGTGATTGACAGCGGGCTCTGCCTATCCAGAGGAGAGCCAGCTGTGCCCGCCTCCTTCCCCAGTCAGTTCCTCCAGTCAGCGCTGGAGGATCGGAGAGTAGAGGGGGGAATCCCTGCAGACAGCGGTGACTGACAGTCACCGCTGTCTGCAGGGAGATGATCGGGAAGTGAGTGAGCGACGATATGTGTTCGCTCGGCTCTAACTTTGAGGATGCGTGTAAATCACTCACCTCGTAGTTCTTCATTAAGGGTTGTTGGCCATTGTCAATACAGTGTATGGAAAGCAGTGTCTTCTATAGAGTAGAACTTGAGCACTGGTTGAATGGAGGGCCTTTCAGTTCCTTTTAGCCCACTTCACCATAATGTTGGGTTATACCTTTAAATAGAATATGAGATGGCAAATGTTCACGCTTCAAGTACGGGATGACTTTAAAGAGAACCTATTAAAAAATAAATGAAAAAACCTTACCTTGGTCTTTTTGTCCCACCGTACTGTGGATAGTGGTTGTCCAATACTTTGTGGACTTCCATCATGGCGGTGGGGAAGCGGCAATGATTGTCTGCTCGTAGTGACGGTCTCCCAGTGGCCCAGCCAGGCACAGATCCCACACTGGACTGTGCCATGGAAGCGCAAAGCTAATAAATATCAGACATGTGCCATTCGTTTCGTTCCGAATCAAAACCTGGACGAATTTTTGGATATTCAGACACATCCGAATTTTCGAATCCCAATGCATCCGAATATGTCCGAATTTCAGTTTTCGAATTTCGGATCCCATCCAAATTTCGTTCAAAAACTAAATTGAATCGGACATGTGACTTTTCTGGCCAATCAGATGTATTTTTCAATTTAATGCATCCGAATGGTTTTGAACACGAATTTCCGATACGGCAACATGGGAGCCATATACAGTATATACACATAATTCTAAAGCTGAAGTTCCTAGACCCGAATGGCATCAGGATCCAAATTTCGGAATTGAATTCGGGAGCTGCCAAATGCCATTCGGGTCTGGGAGATTCAGCTTTAGTATTAATATCTGTAGATGGTTTTCTGTGTAATGCGCAACGAAAATTCGTAAACTCATCCGAAACTAATGAAATTAGGATTTCATCCGAACCGAATTTCACATCCGAATCCCAGGTGACGAGGAAGCATGGATGCAGCTTTCTGGCCAATCAGGAAGCTGGGAGGCGGGTAATGTCTCCCTGCCTAGCTTCCCGATTGGCCAAACAGGAAGCTGGGTGGCTAGTCCGTACACGCCACCCGACTTCCCAATTGGCCGGAAGCCGACTCCTTGCTCCCTCGTCACCAAGTGACGAAGGAGCATGGAGCCGGTTTCCTGGCCAATCACGAAGCCAGCTCCATGCTCCCTGGTGATGAGGGGGCAGGGACCTGGTTTCCCTGCCTATCAGGAAGCCTGTACTATGCTCCCTGGTTACGAGGCAGCATGGAGCCAGTTTCCTGGCCAATCAGGAAGCCAGGAAGCGTGTAATGACTCGCCACCCGGCTTCCTGATGGTATCGGGATAGGCATGTGGGGGGGCATTTGGATGAGTACTCTCCGGAATACTTGGTATCGGTAGCGGTGCATCCCTATTATTTACCTTACAATCATTTCTGGTGTATTTGTGATCCTAAGTGCTTTCTATTGATCACATTTCTGTAAATTGATTACACGTACAGCTTTGTGATTTCTCCCTCTGGTAGATGTCTGCATATCAGTAAGTGTGGGCAGCATGGACATAGGACTAAATACAATGGCTCTAGATATAGGAGAGTACCAAAGCTGTGGTGGAGAAAGTGCTCCATCTAGTGGCAAATACGTGAACTACCAGCTACGTGATGACATATCCTCATTACCAGAGTCTGCATTCTATGAGTAAAGCTATATCACCGGCACACACTTGCAAAGATATTTAGAGTATTGATATGTTTATTCAATACCAGATGTCACATACTGTCATACGTTGCTAACGTTTCGGGTCCGCACAGGGATCCTTCATCAGAGCGACAGTGAAGGATCATGTCAGTGTCGCTCTGATGAAGGATCCCTGTGCGGACCCGAAACGTTAGCACCGTATGACAGTATGTGACATCTGGTATTGAATAAACATATCAATACTCTAAATATCTTTTCAAGTGTGTGCCGGTGATATAGCTTTATTCATTACTAGTGTTTGCACGGCGCCATCCGTGTGATCACCTTCAGCACCACATATACCTTGTGGATTTTGAGACCGTGGTTGTGCAAATGGGATTTGGACTTTGCTGCGTTATATGAGGACATTTCTTTTCAGCAGTATTGTTTGTAATCCTGTACACAAGCCAGATTTTTCTTTTTTTAAATTACAATCAAGCCAATCAAGGGATAGGCTCTTTCACGGAGAATCAAGCTAATCAACAGACAGGCTCTTTCATGGAGAATGTCGTTGATAATCAAGCCAATCAATGGACAGGCTTGTTCACAAGTCCCAGTTCACATCTTTGCAGCCCGGGACCGTGCGTTCAACGGGGGTCTTATCTGTGCGGTAAAAAGGGTCATGCACCTATTTGTGCGATGAGCAGCCTGCGGGTTTTTTTGCAGCCACGACTGTGCGCGATTGCACCGCGACATGCAACCGTGCAGATTGATAACAACGATTGGGGGTGCCATTAGAAATGAATGGCATCGCAAACGTGGTTTGTGCACAATTCCAGGATCGCGTGGCAATCTTGGGTCGCACAGGTGTGAACCGGGCATCAAGCCAATCAACAGACAGGCTCTTCCATGGAGAATCAAACCAGTCAGTGGACAGGCTCTTCCATGGAGAATCAAACCAGTCAATGGACAGGCTCTTCCATGGAGAATGATACCAGTCAGTGGACAGGCTCTTCCATGGAGAATCAAACCAGTCAGTGGACAGGCTCTTCCATGGAGAATCAAACCAGTCAATGGACAGGCTCTTCCATGGAGAATGATACCAGTCAGTGGACAGGCTCTTCCATGGAGAATTATACCAGTCAGTGGACAGGCTCTTCCATGGAGAATGATACCAGTCAGTGGACAGGCTCTTCCATGGAGAATTATACCAGTCAGTGGACAGGCTCTTCCATGGAGAATGACACCAATCAGTGGACAGGCTCTTCCATGGAGAATCAAACCAGTCAATGGACAGGCTCTTCCATGGAGAATCAAACCAGTCAATGGACAGGCTCTTCCATGGAGAATGATACCAGTCAGTGGACAGGCTCTTCCATGGAGAATTATACCAGTCAGTGGACAGGCTCTTCCATGGAGAATGATACCAATCAGTGGACAGGCTCTTCCATGGAGAATGATACCAATCAGTGGACCGGCTCTTTCGCAGGCACGGCATGCATCCAAAATGAAAAAAGAACAGGAGTATTTGTAATAGTAAACAACATTTTAATGTGATTCTGTAAACTGGTGAGTGTAACATAATTCCATAAAGGGTCAGTCCAGCCAAAATCTGATCTTTCCATTTTTGGTAGATACTGGAAAGTTAATCCCAATATTAGTTTCCTAAATCTCTCGGGGACCCCATTGGCGGGGTTCCATTGTGAGGGGTTCCCACTATCCCCGCTGTAGTACATATGAAGTTCAGCTTGTAGAGAATGTAACAGGAGGAGCTGGAACACCCTCAGAATTCCCAGGAACTATGGCAGAAATAATTCATTACTGATGCATTCATATAAGAAGCCCACAAGCTCCACCTCTAGCAATCACTTTTGGGTGGACTGACCCTTTCACATCCTCACACTGTGGATGGTGGGGATATCAAACTCTCATTTTGGGACATTTTCTTCAACCCATGAGAGGTACGGAGGGTTCCCCTGGTCTATGGGGACGCTGATCACCTCACACACTTCGTATGGATGGACGGACCTGTAAGGAAACACAATGGTTTGGGTTAATAAAACTATAAACTGAACCCCAAATGCAGTCAAAAGGGAAATGTGTCATAAACAAGGCAGCTTTATAGTTCTTCAGACCAAATATAAAAGCTGAGTCTCAGGCATTTGTTAAATATTACCATTGTAGCCAGAGATGGGTGTTTCACTCACTCACCTAGGCATTAAAGCCGGCCTAGCATCCAATATATTTATTGATGTTACTGCCAGGTGTACATTACCTCTCACAGAGATCACAGCCCCCCTGACATTGTCTTTGGAAGGGGGGAGGCCAATATTAATGGGCAAGGCAGCGTGCTTTCAGGTGCATTGTGATTGCATAGGAGATCAGTTTGAGATAATTCTGAGATCATTGAGGGCTAGTTCACAGCAGCCCCAGTGCGTCCCGGCCCGATTCAGTGCCGGTGTTCTATCGAATTCTCCAACTCATCGAGACCTCCAACTCCCGTCAGTGCGCCTGCTTAGCCACCCAAGAGAAGTATCAAGCTGTACAATCAGCAGCAATGCGACTGCGCGGGCACCCGATGCCAGAAGCGCCGACGAGAGTTGGAGAACTCGATGACAATTTCGAAGCTGCACAGTTGCACCTACAGCAAGTAGAAAAGTCAACTAGGGTTGCAACGGAGGTGACGTCACGATTTGGAGATGTCGACAAGTTGGCCACCTCGACAGAACACTGGAACGCACCTCGGCCGGCTCACTTTGTTTTGGGGCGAGAGGGGGCATGCGGGTGCATTTAAGTCAATGGCACCGCAGCCACACCCTCTGGCCACAGTGCGATCGCCCACACCGGAACGCGTGGCACATCAATGCCTGCCTTCCGGTGTGTTTAGAAAGAATAGTGCATGCAGCATTTTTTCTGACCGGGCCGCAGGCAGTGATGTGCCACGTGTTCCGGCGTGAGCGATCGCACTGCGGCCGGAGGGCGTGGCTGCGGTGCCATTGACTTCAATGCATCACCACGCCCCCTCCTGCCCCAAAACAAAATGAGGCGGCCAGGGTGAGACCCAGTGCGTTCCGTGCATTGCATCAACCTAATTTAAGTTGTATTTGTATTCCCATTGACTTGTATGGGGAGAGAGTCAAACAAAAGCCCGTCAACGCTGGCTCTGTAGATCTCCGGAACATTTAACATGGCGCTTTTATTGAAGGTCACCTGTGTTTCCTTATATTTCATCGTGTACTCAGATTGAATTGCACAGATTTTTGGCAGATTTACTTTAAAGCCAACAGAATCCTTCCCTAATAGAAACATATAGGACTTGGCATTGCCGACTTTTCATTCTACAAATGACAGCTGCTTTCCTATTATGCTGATCACGGCCACTCACCTGGAACAATTATGCCGAAAAGGACTTCTGACTTTCCTGATTTGCATATTTGTTTAGATCAGTAACATAAAACTAGAATTTTCAGATGGTCGTCAATGGCACCTCATACTTTTTGAAAGGTTTTATTTAAGATCCGTATTCAGCATCTTTAGATTGAAGCTGAAGGCTTAAACTCCAAAACCATGGGCGAGCAGCACATACGCTATATTGCCAGAAGTATTGGGACGCCGGCCTTTACACGCACATGAACTTTAATGGCATCCCAGTCTTAGTCTGTAGGGTTCAGTATTGGGTTGGCTCCGCCCTTTGCTGAGGTGCAGCCATATGTGCTCATTAAATACTCAGGCTCTACTTCCTGCCCTGCAGTGCTGCACTGTGATTTATCCTTACCATGCATGCATACTATCCATATTTTCTCACCATGCATTTCTTCCAACTGACTCACTGAAAACAATGCCCTGCCTTCAGCACTGCAGCCGATATATCACAAGAGTTATTAAACCCGATCTCTGGGATCTCACAGTCTGTCACTTTGCGGGTATTCTGACAGCAACGGGTGTGCCACAGCGGGGTGTTCGTTCATCCCACTGTTCAGCATGGAGGGAGGAATCTATTCGATTTTTTTCGATCAGAACAAAAATAATCTAAGAGTGAAGTGTCCAGCTTTGGAGCAGTTTCCCAGTCGGACGTCCATGCGATGGTACGTATATCTTATAGGACACGGTTGGGCTTGTTGTTCTTTTCTAACATTAGAGCAACAGGCTTCCATAATATGTGTTCAATGTACCCCAAGCTTCTTCTTTTGTTTTGTTTTGGAACCCATATTAACCACCCCATAGTGAGTGCAATAAATAATGGAGATGCCCCCCTCCCCCCCCCCGTCTTCTCACCTGACATATTCCGTCAGAGCTGGAACTTTGGATGACCTGGTCTTAATCATCTGTAAGGAGACAGGGACAGGAAGGTGAGAATGAGGTACCAGGGAAATCATTATTGATCTCATGAAGGTGACACAACGATGTGCTGCTGGGAAGAGGAAGCCTGTTAATGTGCACAGGGAATATCACATGCTGTACTCCTCCATCTTATAGCTGTAACATTGTTAACCTCAATAAGTACCAGAAATACACCCGTGTGCCTGCTTCAAATCCAACTTCGTGCACCAACATTGTCCCAGATCAATTCCTATACTGATGTTCATCACTGCCGATAAATCTGACCTCCGGCCTTCCCTTCAGTCTTCTATCTGACCTCCGTCCTTCTTTTCAGTCTTCTATCTGACCTCCGTCCTCCCCTTCAGTCTTCTATCTGACCTCCGTCCTCCCCTTCAGTCTTCTATCTGACCTCCGTCCTCCCCTTCAGTCTTCTATCTGACCTCCGGGCCTTCCCTTCAGTCTTCTATCTGACCTCTGGCCTTCCCTTCAGTCTTCTATCTGACCTCCGTCCTTCCCTTCAGTCTTCTATCTGACCTCCGTCCTTCCCTTCAGTCTTCTATCTGACCTCCGGCCTTCCCTTCAGTCTTCTATCTGACCTCCGGGCCTTCCCTTCAGTCTTCTATCTGACCTCCGGCCTTCCCTTCAGTCTTCTATCTGACCTCCGGGCCTTCCCTTCAGTCTTCTATCTGACCTCCGGCCTTCCTCTCCTGGAATGGCTTCCTCTGATATCACTGCACACTGGGAGCTTCTCACAATGTGCATTAGAAGCTGCAAAAAGTCAGATAGAGCCCCGCCCTCATTTCCTGGCTGGAGGATGAACAGCATCATCTATACCAGGGGTCAGCAACCTTAAACAGTCAAAGAGCCATTTGGACCCGTTTCCCACAGAAAAGAAAACACCGGGAGCCACAAAACCCTTTTGACATCTAAAATGAAGATAAACACGGCATAGATCGTTTTATACCTTTATGCTACATATAGCATGTATATAGGTATATGTGGGCTCAGTAACGCACTGGACTCTCGGCTCAGTAACGCACTGGACTCTTGGCTCAGTAACGCACTGGACTCTTGGCTCAGTAACGCACTGGACTCTCGGCTCAGTAACGCACTGGACTCTCGGCTCAGTAACGCACTGGACTCTTGGCTCAGTAACGCACTGGACTCTTGGCTCAGTAACGCACTGGACTCTCGGCTTACCTTACACCCCACCTGAGAGGGACCCTGCAGAGCACACCATAGATCCTGCATAGCCCATCTGAGACTCTCTATGGTGGGCTCTGCAGGGCCTCAGGTGGGCTGGTCGCCGGGGTCCCTTTCCCTGCACCTCCTCCCAACTCCTCTTACCTGCTGCTGCTGGGGCCTGGCCTCCTCCACCCCCTCCCGTCACCTCTGCCATGCCGCCCCTGGTACAGCTGATACTCATGTAAGAGGCCCCCCAGACCCCTCACATGGGTAGCTGCCGTACCCCTCTGATGGCGGTGTTCTATCAAAGTTTGTGACTACGTTACAATGTGTGACCGGTGATGTGGTCACACGTTTCAATGTAATTCCACCCAGTTTTTTTTACGGTGGAATGCGTGACTGCCGATAGTTCAAACATTCCAACACTTTCTCAGCTGCTCCAGGGCAGATTGGCATCGCAAATCGTATGGGCAGGAGAACTGATCGGTCCTGAAATGTCACTTCTATCTATGACTGACATCATAGTTAGTGTCCTTTCTACACTCCCCCCTGTGAACGTTCACATAGCACAGCCTGTGGTCACACTGCGGCTGGCCAGGGAAATGAAACTAAATCTTTTTAAAGTGTATCCTAATTCAAAAAACAAAAATGTAAAACACCGCAGCCAACCAGCCCTTAGATGTGGTGGCCGCATTAGTTTCCAATTCAGGTATCGGGATGGCGGCTTACCAGCAATACTTCGCTGTCCTCCTCAATCTTCCCCTTCCATTCATATCTGGTGAAGGAAAAACAGAAGACAACGGTGAGCACGACACGGTGTAAGGAACCCGCACCCCTACAGTGGTGCCTACACAGTGCCTATCTGAATCAAGTCTCCTTGCCAGCCAATGCCCGCAGAGCCATGAGCTGCCTATCCTGGCCCAATGTAAATGGAAAAGACAATATTACTTCTTCTTACTTGTGTCACTTCGCCTGATGTTATGGCACCTGAACTAGGTCACATACTATACAGACAATTATTACACTGATGCCGCCACTGCCAAGTAATCTATAAGTGTCAACCCGGAAATTTTTGCACCTTTTAAATGTCTGACTCTATTGCAGAAAGCAGGACTGCAGGTAGATATTCAAATCCCATCCGCAGTATATTCCGTATCACAGCCCAATTGAACCATTGTTATTTTTACTGTAATGCAGCCAGTAATAAAAAATTGGGCTCTTTTCCGTTTTTTTTTAAGTACCCCGTGCTGCCAGCTCATAGGATAGACGGACTCCATCACGCTCCTGAACAGCAACGACCCGACTCTTCTGCAGTCCGAGAACCCCTTACTCTCCAGCTGTCCAATATGCCCCCCTGCCAGAATACTGCTCCAATCATCAGCATTGATTAGGGAGCGAGAGCACTGTTGGTTAGAACAGTGTTCAGGGGGTAGTGGTATTGGTTAGAGCAGTGTTCAGGGGGTAGCGGTATTGGTTAGAACAGTGTTCAGGGGGGAGCGGTATTGGTTAGAACAGTATTCAGGGGGTAGCGGTATTGGTTAGAACAGTATTCAGGGGTAGCGGTATTGGTTAGAACAGTATTCAGGGGTAGTGGTATTGGTTAGAACAGTATTCAGGGGGTAGCGGTATTGGTTAGAACAGTGTTCAGGGGTAGCGGTATTTGTTAGAACAGTGTTCAGGGGGTAGCGGTATTGGTTAGAACAGTATTCAGGGGGTAGGGGTATTGGTTAGCAGTGTTCAGGGGGTAGCGGTATTGGTTAGAGCAGTGTTCAGGGGGTAGCGGTATTGGTTAGAGCAGTATTCAGGGGGTAGCGGTATTGGTTAGAACAGT